TCGAAAGGCGGAAAACGAGTTTCTCGAGTCCAGGAGTTATTTTTTGCATTCATTTTCCATGACCCGTCACCAGTAAGCAGCGGCGTAACGAGAGGGGGGGGGGGGCACTTTTCAATAAAAGAAGCCAAAAAAAAGAAGAAAAAGACACAGAAATGCATAACAGTATCCCAGAGTTTGCGTACCCCCCACTTTGTCCTGTGCCCCTTTCCCCCTCCCCCCTCACTTTTTCCATCCACGCTACGCTTATGCCGGTAAGGCATATGCAATAATTCGGGTGCCACCAGGGGCCTGTTTCTCGAAGCCTACAAGTAGTACAAGTTACAAGTGTTAGTCTTGTAAATAACAAGTTTATGTTTCTCGAAGAAGTAGGATCCCACTTGTAATTTATTAGTGTTGTTTGGTGAGTACAAGTTTACGTTTCTCAAAAGAGAAGTCTGGCTGCATATACTTGTAAAATACCTGAGAAAGCTGGCTAGTCTCTGGACGGTGGTTAATGTGTTCACAATTTCAAGTAAAGCCATGTTTTCGAGCGATTCTGATGAATCTGAGGATGACGCACGGGTGCGTGATGTACATATGATGTAGTTCACCGTCGACGAGTGATTCAGCCACGATGTGGATTTGATTTGCTTATAGAATAAAATAGATAATTATAAAACAATTTTATAATTATCTTCCAAAGCCACACCAATATTTTCCAATTAAATATTGCGGTTTCAAAGTAAGCAAATATTCAGCAACCTGCATCAAGTGAAAGGGAAACTATTGCAATTTATAATTACAATGTTTATCCTAAACATTCAGGATTATTTTTCTTAAGGCACTATTTTCACATTAACCGGTTTGAATGTTTAAGTCTGATGGAAGGGTAAAAAAAAAAAAACAAACAAACAAAACACGCTGTTTCTCTGTTAGTTATCATCGTTACCATCCTCTTGTTGCACCACCACACATCCCACATGCTATGTCTTCGTTGCTCCAATTATCTCCATGGCATGGGCCTTGTCAGCTACCATATTCTATGAACTCTCCTTGTCTTTCTTAATTATTTTATCACTGAATGCACCAAACAGAACAGTTTTCTTCTCCCGAATGAGGGTAAGCACAGTCAATGTGCTCTCCGTGGGTGTCATGTTCTCTAATGGACTTGTGAAATTTGACCCCGCAGTAATAAAATACAAGCGTTTCATACCCCAGGCCTCGAAGTGCGTTCAAAGCAGCCATTACTCATGTGTCGTCACCGGCGGACACGATGGGGAAGGGATAGGATCCGTATCCCTCGGTTCGGCGTTCCCCATCTTCCTCTTCGTGCGTTTGGAAGTACGCGAAGATGGCACGATGGAGACCGTTCCCTGCCCGAATTAAAAGGTGGCCATACACAACAACCAGAGGGTGAGGACCAGCCTTCCCGTCTAGACGACTGCCAGAATCCGTTCGTCGAGCTTCCTCTATCCTTCAGGACCTTCATCGTTCCGTCGGATCCGAAAGGATCTGGAAGAAGTGGACGTGGAAGTTGGATCGAATGTGCCTCATCCTGGAATCTTCTGGCAACACAGGGGACCCTCTCGATCTTTACTTCGTTTGGGGAATCGTTCCTCATGATCTTACAAGGATGAGTCCTCTTGGCTCCCCCATCGCGTCACACTCACACAAAGAGAAATCCTAGAGTTTTCACGTGGATGTCGCATCGCGCGGCCCTTTCCCTCGTGCAAGGGTCACGTTTTATATTCTCGATGCGAGGTCGGTGGGTAACCACAGGCCATCATCGTGAATCAGCTCAAGATAGAGGATATATTAGGTTCAACCAGGGACTTCTTCACTGTGGAGAAAATCATGCAAGAATGCCTATTTCGTCAAAGAAAGGGACTCAAAGTCTTGTTTTGGATGGTATAAGGCGATTATCCCACGAGAGAAAGTTTGGGCTTTCCAGATCTTTCCAGAGTTGCCGACTCTCTCAGTTTCATCCCTTTCCTTCTGACCGATTCGTAAAGGATCCCAGAAGGCCAGAATTCTCCCGCTTTCACTCGGGGAGAGAGCAAAAAAAGTGCGAAAAACAACAGCAAGCCTACGTCGTTTCCTTGTACAGAGGCCTCGCATTCATCGAAGTTCATAAGGTTTTAAGGCCTTGTTACACTTCGCGAGTGCTCGCTAGCGAGTACTCGCCAGCGAGTGGGGTGTTACATTAAGCGAGTACTCGCTAGCGAGGGCTTACCATTTACTCGCTTCAAACCATCAGCCATCTATTTCATGAATAGTTAGCTTTTTTGAGCACCTACGTACAGATGATAAATATGAAATATGCAAGGATGATGGCTGTCCGCAGAAAGTTCTCATGTCACGGTGGATCTAGTCGACATTGTGATGACACGCAAGCTGTAAAAATTACAGTGGCCAAGGAAAGTGGAAACAAATATCTTCGATTCCATTCAAAATTTTTCCGAAGATCCACGAGCCATTCACTACATATTTAATTTATCCCAACCTCTTCAGTCATGAAGTGACCATAACCAATCTCTTTAGTCTCTGGAAGTCTCTGGAAGGTTGCTTCGTTCATTCGAAGAAAGCTAGCAACGTGATTGGGGCTAGACTCTCTTAGGTCCGGCCGTAAACAATAGTGCGCCCCAGAGTAGATCTTTTCAAGAACCAGGGCATCGTCCAAACCCGTCCGTTACACCTCCCCCATTTCCCTGATACAGTGCTGAGCAAAAAAAAGACGAACGGGTCTATCTGAGGAACGGAGCGAGATTAGCGGTTGTGGTTATGTGCGCGAACAGTGATCACCCGTAAAGTTTAGGCTTCACTTTTTCATTGAAACCATTTCTCGGAGCAGTCGATAATAATAACACTTTTATCAATTATCCTGATGATAGCGATAAAGCTGCGTTGGGAAATTGTTTTCCTCAGTACCCACGAGCATGGTCCCAAACTTTCTTTGACTGCGGCTGCAAAGCACGTTAGCTGCTCGAAGCCGGCGGAGCATCACTAGGCCGAAACGACCGGGGGCGTGGGGGACGAGCAATTGACATTCTTGCGCAATCAGCTCATCCTCCTTCCCCGTGGTCTTCCGTTTTCTTCCCCTTCCCAATTCATCTGCCAAGCCGTCGGTCTTTTTGAACATTTTATATTGTCTTGAGGTTGCCTTTTGATTGGTTATTGCTAAAGAGTACTCGCCGGAAGTTTGAAATCTTCCAAACTCGTAGCGAGTGCTAGCGAGTACTCGTTAGCAAGCACTCGTTAGCGAGTAGCGTAAGTGCAAGTATGTGTAACAGGGCCTTTAGACGACGGCTATGGCATCTAAGTCTTATAAAATAGGGATAGCCGGGAGGAAGAAACGTAATAGTTGTACGACCCCCACTTAGTGTCTCCCCCCCTCTCCTTCTCAGTGAGAACCTAACAAGTCCCCCAAAAACGAGATCCCAGGTCTGACTTGAGATACAATTGACAACACTATATCCAAATTAAATTGCTTCTTTCTGCAACCATGACGACAAGCATGAAGCATTCGAAAAGTTTCCCATGAACATGAACGGAGAATTTCTTTCGGTTCGGCATTTCAAACCTTCATATCGTCCAACAGTAGCCCCCGCAGGATATTAGGGAGTAAGTGAAAATACTGAACCCCCATTCAGTATTTTCCAAGCTTACATTTTCCTGTTAGACGGGTCAAGGGGTGCTCAAGGAGGACTCAAAGGGAGCGCAAGGGGGGGCCCTTGCGTCTTCCACTGCTGTCTAAGATGCCAGATTAGCCCATGAACTTCAGCTTCCTCCTTGTAACAGTTTCCGTTTCCAGAAAACTCGGCTGAAAGGGGACAGTGCCGTCTAACCCCCCTCCTCCCCCACCTCTTCGCCCAATAGCGCACACCAGGATTTTCACTATTTTCACGATATAGGACTCCCATCTCTTTCGGCAATCAGGAAATACCGAGAAAGCGCGCACCATTGGAAAAGACCGATGGGAAAAAAAACTTATACCCCGACTTGACATGTCTCCCAGAAGATGCTTTTCTGCGATTGTTGCTCTCGATCTTCAATGGCGGGGAGAAAGGAATTAGATGAGCAGTGAACCTCATGCATCAGAACCTCTTCAAAGAGAATATCTATAGTTGCAAGGACGGATCGTGCGCCACGTCCCAGGGCATGCAACATCACCATGCCGTCAGACATAATGACGCGTGAACGTAGCAACGACGTGGCATTCTGTCAGAATAGCATTGGATCTTTTCATGGCAAGCATGCGTGGCATCTCGGCGGGGGCAGAATATGACTTTCACCAGAAAACTTTTTTTTTTGTTGGAAAGGTTGGAGACGAGACCGAAAAGTAAAATGAAAAAAGAGTATTTAATTGCAAGGATCGATCCAATAGTACGAGTCTCAACGACAGAAAGTAAACAGGATGAGAATCTGGCCTCCCTTGCCTTCTGCTTTCACCGACAGTAGCGTCTGTTCCACAGATGGCATGTGTCTGCAGTCCGCCGTTCACCTGCTTCAATGCGTGGAAGCCACTTGCACCCATCTCCGCTGCCGAACTCCTCGAGCCGTTGAGTCCTCCCAGCACGGTGGGAAGACTCGACGGACCCCGATGCCTCCAACGACTCTTTTCCCTATCCGTTTTTCGTAGGCAACGAGGAAACGCAGGGCCGATGTCACACCCTTACGATTCCGCGCCGCCATCACGGGGTCCGAACACTTTCTCTAGGCATCTCGACTTCATCCTCTCGAGAATTTCATCACCTGGGCAGTCGATTCTGAGAGAGAGACTTCGTGGCATAAATAGAGACTGCTGGGCTTCCCGGTATCGATTTTTACCCTCTAATCGGCGAGAAGATACGGACGGGGATGGCGAGACATTCTATGACGAGAGACAGGTAGAGTGAGACTGCGGGCCGATCGAAATTGTGGAGCGGACGGTATACAGTCCTCGTCCGTGTCTCCTATATTTTGAGGGTGGTTTCTCCAGGGCCAGTGCGAAAAATATGCCCTGCATCATTCGGTTGCGCGATTCATCGCTCTCCTTCGTTAGACGACTGTGGCTAAATCGAGAAAGAAAAAAAGTCGAAAACGTACGAACCGGTCCCGGTCGGTGATGTCGAGAGAATCCTTGCGGGAGACGGACTCGATGTGGGTCTCCACCGAAAGTCCCGGTCGGATCCGATCCAGGATCCTTTTTGCAGCCGGCTCCGTGCCGATCTCGAAGGAATAACCGCATCGGGTCCGCGGGTACGTCTTATCGATCGTCCCTGCACGGAAAGAATTGAAACGCGTGAACGACGCTCGGTCGGTACGGTACATCACCTTTCTGAATTATGCGAAGAAATTCGCCATCAGAATTTGCGAGTGGAGGTCGGTTTTCGATTCCAACAGGTTGGAGGGAGGATTCCACAACTTCCAAGTACGAAGAAAACTTTTAGACCCGTGAAATTCTTTTTTTTTTTCGAAGCAATCACCCCAGACCTTAACGCACTTCTGCCATCGATGAGGAAGAACATAAATCAGAGTGAAAAAAAAATTCTCACCTGGCAGGGCTCACAACGATACATGCCAGATCCCATTAAGAGTATCGCACGCGGTGACACGCAGAAACGTTCATCTAGTACCTCGAGTCTAGTAGCATTGCTTCCTCGTGCATTTGCATGCTGGGTTGGCTAGTGATCATATAAATCTATTCATTTCTGTGTAGCGTAAAAATGAACGTTGGATTTTCTTAACTATCGCCTCCATTTCCTGACGCACCTGGACGATGCCTACAAGAGTTTTTTTTTTCTGGCATGGGACTCGGAGAGGGTACGGGTAGTCATCGTCGAGGTCAGAGTTTCCAATTTCTCTACAAACGAAGGTTCTACTTTACGATCTACGAAGAATTCATTCAAGAAACTCCTGAATACCTTCCACTTACGTTCGAGAAAATATATCGGAGACAGTGACAGAGCTAAAACCCAAATGAAAATAAGGAGCCGGTGCAAAAATTCCTTTTGCCATAATGGTTCTCATATGAAAATCGGTCAATTACGTTTATTAACCAGTTCACCTTTCGTATTGCAAAAATAACCTTGGAATGATAAAAAAAAGAAGCAAAATGCTCACCTCCCATCTGTATGAAGAGGATCCTGGGGATCATTTTCCAAATTTGGCTCACTTTCTACAGTCACTAAGTAGCCTTGATGAAAGTATGGAACCGGAACGAAGGTCGGGCTCCACCTTCTTTCAATGGAAACTCTATAAAATAAATGAAACCGTGATATTTATCTACGAGAGCAAATGAATGGATATATCCACACGCCCCAGAGACCTTTTCACCCCAGTCCCTAGTCGATATGCACGTAACGGTCGTTTCATCATTCATACTTCTACATGTACTCCTGGTATAATGCAGAATCCACAATGGGAGATGTCGGGACGTGAAAGAGCGAATCGGGGTCACGGATATGCCATAGGCATCTCCTTTCTGTAAATGCATTTATTGAAAGAATAAATTTAGTACCGATTTTCCGCCCTTCCCTCTAATTTGAGCTCGTACCTCCTCCACACAAATCTGGTACGAGTAAGTGTCTTACATTGGTATTTGGTCGACAAAAAAAAGAGTCTAATTCATATTTTCAGGTTTTGATTTGCAAAACAATGTGGGGACGTGAAAAAGTTCGTGGACTGTGCGCCTTATTGCTTTAACCATAAAGGTAACAGCGCACGATATGGTGTGCTTCGTCATTGGCCTGTCTGTGATTGCGCTATATAGCATTGGGTACGCCAATGCTATGCAATACATAGAACGCTGCCATCAACGGACAAATACTTTAATAGCAAAATAATTATAATATCAATAACAATAAAATAGTTGTATATAATAAAGGAATAATAACGGCAGGGAGTCGGGCGATTCCAAGTGGCATGATCCCTGTTCGGTGGATGTTGATGATGATCCACGCTCTCGGATGCTCTGTGCATCGGCAACAGAAGAAACAACTGAGAACGTTTGTACACCGCTCGAGGAAGTTCGTGGACTACAATACGGTTCGACGATTTTTCCTTAAGCAGTGAAAGAACGGAGAGAATGTCTTGGATTGCTGATGCCGACGGCCTCCCAGAGCGTGGAACATCACAGACCTGTAACTAGCCTCTTCGGAAAACTCCTTTGCCTCTTGGAATCTACAGACTCCATAGAGCATCTTCCTAGTCCAGTGCAAATTCCAATCGCACTAAGTTCCCGCACTCCAAATGACCCATTTACTTTCACCGCTATTGAATTACGTGTTCGCTGCAGGGGACGAATACGTAGAACAATCCTCATGATGAGTGTTCCACGTATCTATTGAAAATACGACGTTCAAATATGGCATGAGAACCACGAGATAGGCTACTGAAAAAAGCACGTCAAATATAAAATGATACCCTTGACACATCAGTCACACGGCGTTCGGCGCCCCAACTTTGTCAAATTTTTAGGTACATAACTGATGGATGGGGAAAGATGCGCGTTCGTATCGATACGAAATAAAACCGGTCTCTCCCATAATTCTCTCCCCCCCCCCTGATATCCAGAAATTTCTTGGAACAGCAGCCAGATGAAACTCGGTAAAACGTCGTGAGGAAGGCAGACATCGACTAACGTTCCGAGAATACGAGCTATTACTCACACGATGAACGAGAGGGAAATTTCCTATTCGCCTGACGTACTTCTAGTCGCTCACGAGAGGGCATCCGTGCAGGGGGATAGGAACGATCGCGAATGCTTCGCGAACAACGACCGCGAGGAAGCAGGTAGTTCGGATGCAATAAGAGGACCCGGGTGATTTCTCGATGCATGGACAGAGAGAAACGAAGAGACTCGAGGCCTAGATCTGTCAATGGACTCAATTCTTCCACCCACTTTCTAGGTTTCTTATTCTTACATGTCCAAACGACGAGTGCGGAAAGTCAACGAAAAAAAAGAGTGACTTTTCGGGGGGTATGGTCCTTTGTTTTCCGTTCCGTCGTTCGGAATTTCATTCCAGGAAGTCGGGAAAATGCATACAGTCGGAAAGTTTTTTTCATGTTCGATTCGTTGGCAAGACGCTCAGACGCTCGGCAGGCGTCCGCCAGAACGGTTATTCAAACACGCATGGGTCCCGGTCGTCCTCTGCTTCCAACGATCGCGAAGCTTTCGCTTCAAATCACTCAACAGCTTGTCGCAACCATGGGAAACACTTCAGACTTTAAGTCGTGCATCACATACGAAGCGAAGAATTAATTCACCGTTCGAATGCGAGACGCAAATAAATGTGGCGCGCTTACAGTATGGAAGTGGCAGCGGTGACGGCCCTCTATACTAACGTTTCTCAACCAAGGGTCCGCAAAACCGAATGAAAAAAAAAATTATTAACGGGATAGTGAAAAATTAATTTTAAAAAGTGCAAGTTCACGGGGAAATCGGGAAATCGTTATGGACTTGGCAAGAAATTAAACTTGTTATAGTACTCCTTCACTGATATTCTTTTCTCCTAACATTTTCATAGTCATAAGATATTAATGTCAATGCACAAATTGAAGCTGTAATTTAAAAAAATGCCTCTCCCTGTGAAGAATCACGCTTTTCTTGATAGAAATTTCGTTGGCATGAGATTATGTTTCTTTCAAGAACTATACGCCATAAAAAGGGACATCATCAAAGACAAAAAGACTATGATTTTGACATTTTCGCTAACTCGTCTCGAAATTTATGGATACGAATAAAATCCCTAAATTATTTCCTCGCGTAGTGCAATAGCTACAGAGCTGAATATGTTTTCGGTTTGCTCTAGTTCTGCTCTTTTCCGTCCGATAGTGAGCAGGCCAAGGAGACCCTCATCTATCACGAAAGGCATCCATGAAACAGGTCTGTGAAAAAAGCGAAGCCTCAAATTACGATGGGGAACTCTTCTCAAAAAATGCCTCATTTTGATAGCAAAGATGGTCGAAGCTTCGGATTCCATCGATGGATCAAAATTGAAGCTATTCATGGCTCACGTTAGATTCCGAATGTTGTGGGGGTGTGAAAGTAAATCGTGGCATTCCGCCTTTCAAAGAGAGATCGGAAGAGTGGCGGTCGGACTCTGACGAGGAAGATGAATCATTCATAAATGGGGCACATTGGCAGCTCAACGTCATAGGCAAAAGTTTCATCTGGACGTAATCTGCCTCCCTATGCAACGGCGTAGCTGGCTTCTTGATCATCGCAGCATCTAATTCCTAATACCGGATGACTCGAAATAGCTCCCAACTCTACATGAATGTGGACAGAAATTTGCAGGACATCGACAGGAAATTTGCAGAGTACCGGGTCCAACACGAGTAGGTGATTCTAATCAAATTTAGCTAAAAATTTTTCTTGAGAATCTGAGTAGCAGCTATAATAAATATTTAAAAATTTCACATCGAGCAAGATAGCATGCGATAAAAACTTTGCTCTGCACTCTTGATGAAAGTGAGGGATTTCGTTGAGGGAGAGTGAAATAGTTAGCGATTTTAATTCCCTACAAACAAGCGAGTAAAATCGCTAAATACTTTCAGCGAAAATTTACATGAATCAAGAAGAAAGAAGAAGTACATGAATCAATTTTTTTAGAGTTTGAAAAGAACACTCTTCGTTTCGCGCTCGTGGGGGATTTGGCTAATAAAAGAGAATAGCTAGTGATTTTATTGTCTTGTTTTTGGAGAGTAAATACCACAAACTCTTTCGCCATGAAGGCATGCCTTACTGTCGCAATTTAAAATACTATCTCATAATTATTTACACTGACATCAGTCATTTTCATATTTACACGATAGTTGAGGGGGTTCGCGTGGTTATTCCATCTATGCCGAGAGGGGCCCGCAGAGTAAAAAAGAAAGAAACGCTGCTCCATGCATACTTGGGATCCGTTGGGATTTGTCCTTCGAATCTGGTCGTGAATCCCCGATCGCCAGTCACGGAATAACGGGCACGTGGGGCGAGGAATGCTAAGGACATGACGGCACCAATGACTCATTCTCTTTTTTCTTCTAAGGTATAGTTCCATATCGAAACCCGCCAGTCATTCCGTTAGACCGCTCATACGAAAGGGGAAGGAAAGAGAGCGGTGATACAGAGGTGGGAGGGAAGGCATGGCTCATTTGCGTCCCTTCAAAACGTGGAGCATGCATGTGTGCATGCACGTTCCCCCTACTTCTCCGCCGGCTTTCGCAACGCCAGAGCATTTTCCTCATTTTTTGCGCGGAATATCATGAGGGGGGTGCGTCACACGCCTCGTTTGTGCGAAAACACTTTTTTTTTCATCCGTTTCTCACCAGGGTGTACGCGCTTGTGTTAACGAATGTGACTGTGTAGGCATTTGTCAAAGGTTCGCTTAATCCTAATCCGGGCAAGGTGAGTCCGCTGGACTCACTAAGACATATTTCGGTCTATTACTGTCATTATTTTTTTAAACTATCAGGACCATTGAATAAATTGTCTGTAT